GGGAGTGAGGTGCAGAAACTTTAAGAGCCAGTATGTACTTTACCACATGGTCTGTTTTCTTTCACTATTAGTAAACTGAATTTTAAAAATATGTGAGTATTCAAGAGAACTCTTATAAGAGGTAATTCTAATCAAAGCTTAAGAAACAAACAATTTTTACCAAAAAGTACACACTATCAAAAGTCATACTTGTTTTTTAAAGCATATGCCACTCAAGACAGGTGTTCTTTTTATTTTAGAAGAACAATGTTAGAGTACAGTCTCTGCCATAGCTCTTGCAATCTTTGCCATTTATATTATAATGTATAATATTTAAAATTATATTTGATATTTCATTTTTCAAACACAATGAAGCACTAGCATTGAAATAAATAATATATAGTACCTGATAGGAGAGTCAAAATATTTAATCATACGGTCTGCATTTCCCAAATGAGAATGCATCCTGGCTCACATCCTGACTTTAGCCTGTGAGACCTTCATCAGAGAACCCAGTCATGAACACCCAGCCTCCTGACCCATAGGGCTTTTAGCTAACAAATGGGTGTTTAGACCACTAAGTTTACAATAATTTGTTACAGACTAATGGAAGACTAATACAGTGGTTAAAACTGCTGGTATTTTGGAAAAAATTAAGGTTGGAGCACTGGAATGTTTTAGTAATTGTTTATTTTTAATCTCTATGCCCTTGTGGGAAAATTTCCAGTTTCATTTAATAATGCCCTTGATGAAGGAGTAAAATTTATTTTATTAAATCTCAAGCTTTGAGTACAAGTTGTTTCAGTCTTCATAATGATGAAGTGAAATATCATGACATACTTCTGCAGCACTGAAATATAAGAGTGGTCTTGGGACCAGCAGTTAGCATAATGGCTATGTCGCTGGACTCCCACGTAGCCGACGGTGGTTCAAGTCCTGGACCCGGTGGCTTAAACTCATGCTGGGTGCGTGTGCATGCGTGCCCAAGACCCCAAGAGGAGAATGGAGGAGAAGGGATTGTGGCGTGGCCATCCCCCCTGGGGGTGATTTCTCGCTTTCTGTCTCTCTGTCTCTCTGTGTCTGGCGAGCGCACGTGCCCTATAGCAAAAAG